TTCTGGATCCTCTGCTAGAGAAATGACATTTCTCATATATTCTTGAACAAAGCCCTCTCCTCTGTCTGGAGCATGAGCAGCTTTGGGAGAGATGTTATTTGGAGAGGTGAAGATCACCTTCCTAGCCAATAAGATAACCGATCAACAGGATAGTGTGAGTGAAAGTCAGATCTCCTTCAAATCCAGGTGTCTTTATGCACATACCAACTGACAACACTGTGGCTAGCTCAGACGTTAGCACATGCTTTGGCCCCTAAGCACAAAATGAATGGTGTCTATAATGTCCATAGGAGACATTATATCTCCTAGGTGGGGAGGTAAGACATTAAACTCCAGCTAACTTTTAAGGCAGCCAACTTATATATGTGGAAATGCAGTAAGTTTGGGGCCAAGGGAGAGCACTGTGGTCCCCAGCATATGGGAAAAACTTTCCAAAGAGATGAAACTCGAAGCTAGCCCTTATAAGAATGTTTATTATTAACTTTGCCTCCACAATTTCCTGCTTCTTACCATTAGTGGATCTTGGCAGCTGGTTTTGCCATCTTAGAATAGAGAATACTTACGAAGAGCATAATAATACAAATCCTGATACTTTGTGCATTTCTGCTTAAAAGCCAACTTGTCTTAACTCCCAAGATTCTAATAATAGAAAATGGTTAACTTCTCTTTGAACAAGTGTAGCTGTCCTGTTCTCCTGACAGTTTTTCTTCTTCCCCATTTAGATTATAAATACACAGGAGCCTGGGACCATGTGTTTCTTATCCTTACTTTGTAATTCCCCAATGGATAAGACTGGCCCACTTCGTACATTGTAATCTAATCACTTACTAAGAGGTCTCTGTATTTGTTGAAGGTGATGGATTAGCCTTTCAAGCGCTCCTGCCCAAACATTGCTGGTTGTCTTGGGCATACTCATCACCTGCCTTCTTCTGATCTCCGTTTTCTCTTCCAACCAAATATACTCCTGGTGTTTTTTCTTTCTTCCCTGATCACTCCATTTCCCTAGCATATTAAATATACTTTTAAGGAGATGTCAAGACTTCCCTTAAGAATATGGGCTTTTATTTGTGGCAGCACACATGCATTAACGGGAGATAGGCATGTTGGCTGATGAAATCTGCCCAAGTACAGAGAAAGCCTTAATTGAGAGCACCCAAGTTAATTTTAAAACCCATCAAGTTAATATAGCTTTACTTTTTTCATTTAGGAAATGTGTTTAGCTACTATGTTTTAACTCATTTAATATAATCTTTCCTCAAATTTACTTGAATTCACTTTTTTTCCAATTCACTAAAAATGTTTTTATTCAGCTATTGTTTTTAGACAACTAATGAACCTTTTCTCTGTGGTTCTCTCCTGCAAATAGTCTGGTTTCAATATGTGGGCTTTAATTTATATAATTGTTCTCTTTTATTCCTCTTTGTGATCCACTTTCCATTCTGTTTAGCAGACACTGGTTGCTCTGTAATTTTGAAAAAAGAATAGCAGTGCATTTACATGGAAAGATAACAGCAAAACTATTCTTAAGTGAAATTTTGTATCTTGTAAACTATTTTTCATAGACTGTCATCTTGAAACTTAAAGCAAATATGGACGTCTTATCCCCATTAGTGCTGCACAGATTCATTTCTTTAACGTTAAACGATACCGATTAACTTCCTCCTCTGTGCCAAATATACTTCCGGGTGGTGAGGATCTAACATTGAACTAGACAGACAAGGACCTTGCTCTTTACCAGCATACATTCTAGCCAGGGCTGCAGTGAGATGCAAACAACAATCACATACACAGAAAGCAGTTGCCTTCCCAACTCTTTTTCCCTTTACCATTGCTTCAAGGCCACATCTCCGACCTTGTTACCTGTAGTGTTGTGTTCAATTTAGTCTTATGGTACTGCTACACCCGATCTAGTGTTTAAGGGCCTTGTTCTAGTACAAGAGAGAAAGAATAGAGATGCTCCTGGGAGGTTCAAGTTTCTTGCTATTGCTCTGAAACTAAATTTGTGATTTACTCTCAGAATTGTAAAGGTGAGAATTCGTTCACTCATTCAGAAACACATATTGAACAATGTATCAGTCAGGGTTTGGTTATGTTTCGGGCTTTTATAACACCTCCATGCCCTTAAGTACCTCACACTCTAGACGGAGGGTGAGAGACATAAAATAAATAATGACTGATAAATATTAAAATAAAAATACACATCTATCAAATAAGGGGAGCACTACAAAAGCAGGAACTAACTCTGCGTGGGAGTAGGTTTCACCATAAGATCACTTCTAAATTGCATCTTAAATTTTTTTTGATGTTTTATTTGATTTTTTGAGAGACAAAGAGAGAAAGAGCATGAGCAGAGGAGGGGCTGAGAGAGAAGGAGACACTGAATCCAAAGCAGGCTCCAGGCTCTGAGCTGTCAGCGCAGAGCCTGATGCGGGGCTCAAACCCACAAGCACAAGATCATGACCTGAGCCAAAGTTGAACGCTCAACCAGCTGAGCCACCCAGGCACCCCACTTCTAAACTGCATCTTAAAGGTGGCTGGAAATAGAGCCTGCTTCATGTATTCAAGGAATGATTACTGAGCACCTTCTACTGAGCCAGGCACAGTTTCAGGCACCATAAACATAGCAGTGAACTGGACAAAGTCCCTGCTCTCTTTGCAACAGAGAAACCTACAATAAGCATATGACAAATAATTATATATTAGTTAGTGATACCTATTAAGACCACAAAACAAAGCTTAATAAGGGGAACCAAGAATGATAACAGATATTGTTTTAGATAGGATAGTTAGAGAAGACCTTCCTATTGAGATGACATTTCAGCAGAATCCTGAATGAATGAGAGAATGAGACCAAAAAGCAAAAGGAAGCCATTTCAGACAGAAAGGCCAGCATGAATAAAGGTATAGTAGTTATGAAAAGTGTGACATCTTTAGTGCAAACTGAGGTATTCTCACTAAGCAAGGTGGGATGCAAGGAGTCAGGGAGAGTGTGGTAGATGAGGCTGGGGAAAGAAGAAAGAGAAGGAGGGCGGAAGAAATGGGAAAGGTCAAGAACAGTTTCTGGGCTGTTCATAGCAGCACTCTCCACAATAGCCAAAACATGGAAAGAGCCTAAGTGTCCATCAACGGACGAATGGATCAAGAAGATGTGGTTTATCTATACCATGGAATACTACATGGCAATGAGAAACAATGAAATCTGGCCATGTGTAGCAACATGGATGGACCTTGAGGGTGTTATGCTGAGCGAAATAAGTCAGGCAGAGAAGGACAAATATCACATGTTTGCACGTATAGGAGGATTAGGAGAAACTTAATGGAGGAACAAGGGGGAAAAGAAGGTGGGAAATGGTGGGGGAAAGAGAGAGAGGCAAACCATGAGAGACTCTTGAATACTGAGAAACAAACAGGACTGATGGATGTCAGGGGGAGGGGGAAGATGGGCATGGAGGAGGGCACTTCTGGAGATGAGCACTGGGTGTTATATGGAAACCAAATTGACAATAAACTATTTGTAAAAAAAAAGAAAAAGAAAAAGAAAAAGAAAGAAAGAAAAAGAACAGTTTTTGGGCCTAAGTTTGGGTGACTGAGTGGGTGATAATACCATTAACCAAGTCAGGGACCCCTGGAGGAGAGGCAGTTTTAGGAATGCAAATAATGAATTTGATTTGGGGCAGTGGGAAATAAGAATTGGATATTAAGAGTCAGGGCTAAAATACCAATTTGGCTCTTACCAGCATGTCATGGAAATTTAAAAAGAAGGAGCAAGAAGAGTAGTCAGCGTTGTCAGATACCGCAGAGAATTTTAACAGGATGAGAACTTTTAAAAGGCCATCAGATTTGACATTTGGAAGATTGGCAGTTACTTCACGAAGGCCAATTTCAGTAGACGTGGGTAGGACAAACCCACATCATGGTTCATTTGGAAAGTGAAGGTGTAAGAGACTGAGGTTGTCCAGCCAAGTCTACTGTCTTCCCCCTTCCCAAAGCTCCTTCTTGGAAGTTTTGAACCTGAGGTCAGAGCTCTTCCCACTCCTTCCTTAACTTTCTCCACATAAGGCCTAGAACTGGATGCTTGAGCTGGGGACATGATGGAGGGACAAATTTTCTCAGATCCTTGGGTCTCTGATGGGCGGGGGGCTGGGGATAGGGGAGCCTGATGTTGGTGAAGCAGATATTGAAGGGAACATCTTCAGTGGGGAATAGCAGGTCAGGCCTGTTCTGAGACCTGTCTCCAGAGGGAGAGAAAGATGAAATACCTAAGTCTCTCTTGTATATGGAAACTGGACCAGGAAGCTGAGGTAGGATACAGAGCAAAGCACTTGAAGGGCTGGTGGGGTAGAAACATGAAACAAGAAACTCAGCCTCAGAGAGAGAGTACAATAGCAAAGCATGGGGGTTGGGGGGTAGAAGTTGACAGTAAACTGATAGACACTAGAAGAAATTTAAGCAGGAATGCTTAGGTTTCTTAGGGCACTGTAACTGAAGATGTGCAGGGGTGACTGTTGGCAGTACCTTTGTCCACAATGATAGCACTGAGGGGATGGTTAATGAATTGAGGGATAGTTCCAGAAATACCTGGTATATGGATGTCTAACAAATATTTGTGAAGCCAAAAAGGGGTCGTTCCTCCACAGATAATGTGGAGGAAAGGGATTAGATACCAGAGTTCTGAAGACGTGTTAGAAAATTCCTAGGTTCCCTTCAGGGAGAGGACAAGATCCCAGACCCCTTAGAAGTGCAAAGCCTGAGAGAGAGACCTATACCACGGAGGGAGTTGGAAGCATAGTCCAGAGCAGGAAACCCAGTCTTTTAATCCTGGAAACCCAAGCAATTACGGTAGGTCTACTAGATTTCCCCATCCCTGCACAAGTACACCCGTGGCCTCAGTTTCTCTCACCTGCACCTCCATCTCTGCCCACTGGGGGGCGGAGCTCGAGGGCAAGGCTGGCGGCTGTTCTGAAGCCTCGAGGACCATCAGTTCGTACCAGACTCCCTACTCCATTGCGGTCTTACCCCCATGGCCGAAAACGGGCTCTCATACTTCTCCCCGCTGCCAGGCAGTGGTAGGGGTGGGCCCAGAGGGCCAGTGCCAGTGAAAGTTGACACTTCTGTCTGGTTGACTGCCCAGGCGGCCCCTCGCATGCTGATGGCCCAGCCGGGGATTCAGCTGGGGATCAGCCCAGGCCCTGAGGTGCTGGAGATGCCCCTGGGTCCCCTGCCATACGAATTCTGGGGCGGGATGGTGCCCCGCAGGCCCAGGGTCGGAGCTGGCGAGACGGGGTCGTGGTTCCCAAGACCCTCTGAGGGCACCTTCCCCAGGCCCTACATCATCCTGCGGTGCATCCCGAGGTTGGCACTGCCAGAGGACGTCTCAGCCATAGAGAAAGAGATGGAGCAGCTGGCCAAGGAGCTGAAGGAAAAGAGAATGGCGCTGGGGTACTCGCAGGCCGACGTGGGGTTCACTATGGGGGCTCTCTTTGGAAAGGTTCTTAGCCAGACAACCGTCTGCCGCTTTGAGACCCAGCAGCTCAGCCTCTCCAACATGTGGAAGTTGCGACCTCTGATGAAAATGTGGCTGGCGGAAGTGGATACCAAGAACTTTATGGGCATATGCAAAGTGGAGATGATCCTGCAGCAGGATCGGAAGCGGAGACAGGCAGCCAGGGAGCGACACATCGGAAGCAGTCTAGAGAAACTCTTCTTGCAGTGTCCGAAGCCCACGCCGGAGCAAATCAGCCACATCGCTGGGCAGCTCCGGCTACCAAAGGAACTGGTGCGAGTTTGGTTCTATAACCGGAACAAGATGGGTGGTCACCCAACCATTGATTTCTGCCGCCCGGAGGATGTGGGGACTTCAGGGCCTCCTTTCCCAGGGGGATCAATGTGCTTTCCTCTGGCATCCGGGCCCCATTTCGGTCCCCCCCAGTATGAAGGGCCCTACTTCATCCCTTCACCCCTTTCCCTGGGGAGGGGACCCACCTCTCTGCCCCAGCCACCCCTCTGGGCCCCTCCAGGCTTTCAAACTGAGGGGCCTGTCCTTCTGGACAGAGCTGAACTGGGGAAATAGGTCCCTGAGGTTCATTTCGGGACTGTTAACATTAAGAGCTCCATTAACCGTCTAAAGTAGTTAAGAATACTTAAGGGGTGGGTTGGGAGTTGTTTAGGAAATTCGTGGGGGGGGGAGGGGTACGTGTCAGAAGTTGAAGTTTATTACTCAGCTTGCTAGTTTTTACCTAGCATTGGTGTTAAGATACATTACAATACATATATGGTTTCAGACATTTTGTTTCTCTCTTTTTTATTAATTGAAAATTACTTCTGTTATTCCTTGTGATTATCAGCAAACATAGGGATTTTTTTCCTTATAAACACAGTATTAGTAAAAAATTAAAACACAGAAGATTATTTCCATATACCTTTTATTTTTATCAAAACCAAACAGAATTTTATGTAAACATAAACACAGAGTCCAGGATAATAGTAACCTCTCGGGGGAGGTTTGAGGTTGGGATATGGAAAGAGTACACAAAGTCTGCCCAGGGCCCTTGCTGAAGCACAAGTTTTATTGTGCTCCTTCCTGTCTTGAAAGATGTTTGCTTTTTTTTTTTTTTTCTTTCTTCACTAATTCACCTTTTCATTTAGAGTGCTCAGTTTCAGGTGGAAGTCTCAATCCAGATCTCCACCTTAATGGAATCCCACTGGTTTATCCTCAGTCCTGCCACAGTCCAGCCCCTTTCTTACTGAGGTAGGCAAGGCGGACAGCACTTGCTCAGCGCCAGCTCTAGCTTACTTCTCTGGTTTTCAGCTCCATTTGGTTTATTACCTGGATATTTTCCTTACTTTCTTTTGAACTCAGATATATGTCTTAGAGAATATCTGTGATGGTGGAGTCAACATTCCTTGGTGGTTTATGTAATGGTATATCCTACATCACTTTTCCAATCTCTTCTCTGAAATCAGCTTTTTCTAGTTTTCTACTTCTACATTGGTAAATTTTGGTCATCATATACTAAACAGAAGTCATTAATTCCTCTATGTTTGTACCTCTACTGCCATACACCTGCATGTAATATTTATTGCTTTCTAATTCTATCACTAAATATTATATCTGAGTTTGTCTTTGTAATTACTAATCTTGTTGGTTTTCTCTTTCTCTCCTTTTTTCCCCTAATCAGTTCTTAGAAAGACTTTATCAATAGATATTTTCAGAGAACAACTTTTTAAATTTTTATCCTATTTACTGCTCTTTTTTATTTTATTTTATAATTAATTAACTTCTAGCTTTTACTTTCATTACTTGCTTTTTTACTAGTTTTCTCTGATTTCTCCTGATGTATATTTTTTTCTTCTTGTCAGTGTTTGAAGATAAAACACTGACCATATGCAGAGGTTCGTGAAGATGGACATAAACTTTAGACTAAGTGAGTGACTAATCATTTACTCTTGGACTCTCCCACTAAAAGTCACACAGCACCAGTCTCATTTCTTCCTTTTCCCAGACAACCCTCTGGACAGCCTTGAAAGGGAGAGGCTTCTGCAAAGGGCCAGGTAGTATTTAATGCTGGGATGAACAACTGTGTTTGTGTCAATATTCACCTCCTAAAAGCTATGAGGAGGCTCTGACCCAGGCTGCTCCTTGAATTCTGTAGCCCCTGCGTATTTGGAGACATGATAATGAGCTTTCGATCTCGGGAACAGCTCCAAGAGCCTGCCTCGGCACCTGCACAGCTGCGTCTTACACACAGCTACTGCACCTCTGGTTAGGCAAGCACCACGTTGTGTCACTGATCAGCCCTCACATAACTTAAAATGCAATTTTTCCATTGCTGGTCCTCTTGACTTGATTGACTATGTAAAGAGAAGAGGCTGGACATTGGGGAAACTTTAAAAGATTTCAGATTTTTCAAAGATTTAAGATTATGGATTGAAACCTTGATAATAAAACCCCTCAAAACTGAGAATGAATTGCCCTTAGAGTTGGGAGAAAACCAACAGCGTGGTGTCAGTGCTGAACAGTATCAAATATACAGAGATCAATGTAAAATCAAGTCAGATATACGATGGCATTAGCAAAGTTGTCAGGGATACTGGAGTGAAAATAATTTCAGTGTGGAAGTTGGCAGAGGCAAAGGTCAAACAATAGTCCAGAATCTTCATATTTGCCAGATTTTCCCTTAATGTCAATTAAAAACACAAATTCCAACCACTCAATAAGATCTTCGCCATCATTCCAAAATATTTCTTTTATCAAATCTTTCCTTTATCTCGTGCTTTCTTTAGACAAGGCAAGTATTCTTAACCTGAAGACTTCGAACCCCTTTACAGCATAGGCAGAAGAGTGTGTTTGTACATGTGTGCATCTTTAAAGATGGTGATGATAGCTTTTATCACATTCTCAAAGGAGACACAGCTCTTTGTAGATCTACGGTTTCAGAATTTTAGAAATACGTTCCCTTTGGCCACCTTACTCTCAAGAGTTTTCCCTTGACCTAATACCAGTCTAACAGGTAATTCCTGGTTTTCTTTGAATCTGTATTTTCTGAGTATCTCTAGTTCAGCATAGAACAGAGGACCTGAATCACATCTTATATAAGTCTTTCAAATTCAGACCAAATACTCTGTTAATTATTGCCTTTATTGTTCTTATACTTTCATCATTCTGTGGCACCTTAATTAGATTCCTGTCATAAAAACAATTTCTCTTGTTCCTAGAATCTTTCCTATCTATTGTCTAAGAAAACTTGAAGTGTTAGGATATGCTCCCTTATTCCAAACCATTTTCTTGCTCTTGAAATATCATCTAAATGTTTTCTATAATTTCATATTTTTGAAATATACATATTATACATCTTTGCCTATTATGCTAAAACTACATCATGGGATTTATTTTTCAGTGTAGCCACTTCTGTTTATAGCTTTCTTCTAGAAATCATCTTGCTTACTAAACAGTATTAGTTTCCTAGGCAGAATCTTGTTTTTTTAGGGTACAAAACAATATTATCTCTGTAAAACAGTGTTTTAAAAGCAAAAATTACAATACCATCCAATAAAATCCTAGTGGAATATGAGAGTATTAAATGACAAGGTGATTATAAATGAAAAGAATAAAACTTAGGAAAATAAAATTTTGAAGAAAAGAGTTAGAGTGGCCTTGTCCTACCAAATATTATGAAACTACAGTAATTTAAACAGTAAAATGGTGGTTATGGACAAAACTAACAGAAACAAGCATTTGACTCTTCCATTTTGTGGGAGTGTGAATCAAGGCAACCTTCATGAAAGGCCATTGGATAATTCATATGGGAGGTTTAAAAATGTGATTTTTCTTTGGCCAATCATTTCAACTTTAATGAATTTTTATAAGAAAAAATTATATTTGCTTGCAAAAATACAGTGATAAGGGTGGTCATTACAACATTTTTTTAATAACAAAAAGTTAGAAACAACCTGAATGTTCTAGAAAGGCCAAGTAAATAAAAAGAACCACCATGTATGGTAAAAATTGTATTATAGAGTTAGAGTTTTGAGAAAATGCAGAATAGATTGTTGAGTGAGGCAAAACAGTTTATTAAGCTTTATGATACTTTTTATTTTTTAAGGAAAAAAGATGTGTTACATGTAGAATTATATACATAAGTAACTATCGTTGGCGATTTTATAAAATTGTTTTTGCTTTCTGTGTTATACAATAAAAATATTTAAGAAAAATTTCTAAAGGAAGGTGCTAGGAAATCTAGGGATCCTAAAACTGTTCACTCTTCTGGTCTTTTTTATCTGTAAAATGGTAGTTTTTCATTATAAGGCAATTTTATTTTAAAATAATAAATGTGCCTTTTCATTTTTAGTCAGATCTGTAGTTTCTTTAAAGAGAAAGGCAGTTCTCTAAACGGAGGAGTATTGAGATATATCAGAGAGACGTTGCTAAAAATTAGTTTTTTCCTTTAAATCAGATGCCCATTAATGTTAAAGAGCTGTAGTGTAGCTTAGTGAGTGAAGACACCTGCCATATGTCTGTTTTTCTGCACAACATGGTAATTTACAATTACAATTAGTGTGTTTATATACCTCAGTGGTGTTAACCCATATTTAGAATATAATATAAGCCCAGATCATTTTCATGTTTCTGAATGTTTACTTTTCAATTTAAAAAAAAACCATTTCAAAGTATCAAAACCCTGTTTTTATCACAGTAGAATCCTCCTTGCCTGTCATATTTGAAGAAACCAAATGAATATAAATAAGATCCATAGACTTCTAGGTTTGAAGGCAGGGTCACTTCCTGTGATTACAGCCTCAGCCAGGTGAAAGGTGAACTGTCATGAAATGAATCTACCTTGATACCCAGTAACATTCTTAACACAAAGCATTAGCACGATCACGGTTACACCAGTGAAGAGCATTACCAGACGCTCTTGAAGAGATTGTGTTGTTTACCTCCAGGGCTATCTTCAGAAAACAGTGTGGCACATCAGAGTGTTGGGCTGCTGCCCTGCCACCTTGCTTTTAGCTTGGAACCCTGCTGTGAGTTCTGCTATAGACAAAATTAGCTACTTTGGCATTGAACTTGGACTTTTTAGACTTGCATCCCCCAGTTTCCAACAAAATGATGAAGTACCAACCAACTTCACTTATTACTGTTGACTCTGCTCCTGACTGCCTGCCAAAGACGAGGTTTGGAAAAGGAAGAATTGAGGCCTTCCTGAGAATTCACCACATTTTGGATTCAATATTCATTTCTAAAACTGTACAACCTGTTATATCACTTCTTTTTCTCCAAAAGAGTAACTGCAATGTTTAATAATTAGTCTTCTTCTTCCCCCCCAGGATGTATGGTGTAGACCTCCTTTTAGTTCTTGGTGCAATGGACAGGATAGTGTATAAGATGCTTTAAGTTGATTTATTATCTGAGAACGGATGCTGTTGTTCCTAGAACAGCTGTAAAACTTTTACTATTATTGACTGAGTAGTGGGAAAATCTTAATATATACTTTTCTACTGAAAGAGAGTTTGTTTCAATATACCATGTAGTAGTTTGCTAGAGCTGCCGTAACAAGTACTCCAGCTAGGGGAGTGTGAAGAACAGAAATTT